CCTTTATTTCTTTTTCTTGCCTTACTGCTCTAGCTAGAACTTCCAGCACAATGTTAAATAGGAGTGGTGATCAAGGGCATCCTTGTCTTAAACAAAACAGATTTTAAGGTAAAATGAATTATTAGAAATACCAAGGGCTACTTTGGAGCCCTGGTGGCACAGTAGTTAAGACCTCAGCTGCTAACCAAAAAAGGTTGACAGTTTGAATCCACCAGCCACTCCTTGGAAAGCCTATGGCAGTTCTACTCTGTCCTACATGGTTGGTATGAGTTGGAATCAACTCAACGGCAACGGGTTTGGTTTTTTGGTTTCAGGGGCTGCTTCACAATGATGATAGAAATAATTCACCAGAAAGATACAACTCTAAGCTTAAATATACCCAATGGTACAGCCTCTAAATTAACAGAATTAAAAAGAGAAACTGATAAATTTACAATGATACTTGATGCATGACAAAGGGCTATTACAAATCTGGGAGTAACCGATGATCTATTTAATAAGTGGTGTTGACACAACTTATTACCCATATAGAAAAGAAACTTAGATTCCCTATATTACACCATATTCAGAAATAAATTCCATATGGATTAAAATCCCAAAATGTGAAGAGCAAAGAACTTTACTTTTTTTTATTATTTTTTATTGTTGTAATTAAATGAAGTTTATATTTCAAGTTAGTCTCCCATACAAAAGCAAAGAACTTTAAAATGTTTAGAAGAAAGTACAGTAGAATAGTTTTAAGACCTTGGGATAGGGATAGTTTTCTTAAAGAAGACACAAAAGCACAAACTGTAAGGAAAACTCAGAAAGATATGACCACATTAAAAACTTATGCTCAATAAATGACACCATAAATAAAAAGAAGATAAATGTAACACGTATAATCAACAAAGAATTAGCATCCATAATATAGAAAGAATCCAATAAATCTAAAAGAAAAAAATCAAATAGCCAGCTTTTTAAAAAAGGTAATCAAAGAAGAAAAAGACTGAACAGCCAATAAAACATGAAAAGATGCTACTTACACATGGGTTAATGCCTAATGTATTAGAAGACTACAGTGCTGTGGGTAGCAGGAGCTGAAGGTTTCTAGTTCCACCACTAACTAGACACGACCATAGCAAATTTCTTGCAAATGTACCTCAGTTTCCTCATCTGCGAAATAGTGAGATCTGTGCTTCACTGGATAATTAGAATTCTTTCAACGGATAATTACAGGGATCATATTAGTAACTGTAGGTGAACAGTTTCTTTAAAATATAATGTAACATTTAGAACAAGAGTTATGACTATTAACAGAATGTAAGTCTTATAAGCATGAATGCTCTTTTTCAGTAATTTATTATTCTTCCTATTCACAGAAAGGGGAAGGTCTTCATGAAACCAGGAAAGGAGAGTCAGTGGGAAAAATATTCAACAGCATATTTCTAACACCATTCTTTACAGTAGACTCCCCTCACCCACCCCTGTAAACAGCTGGTCTGTCTGACAATTTTCTGTCACTTATTCATTCACTCAACAAAATTTTTTTAATACATACTATGTGCTAGACCCTGTGATAGGTGCTTATTAGAGAAAGACACAGATCCTATATTCCCAGGGTCCAACAGAGAAGATGGACAGCAAAGAACAATTTTATAAGTAATTAACTATTAATTAATTAATTAGTACTGTACTAAGTACGCCACAGGTAAAACACAGTGTACATGAGGGCATGTAACAGGGGATCTGACCTAGGCTAGGAGGTCAGAGAAGGCTTCCCTGAGGGAGTGACATTTAAGCTGAAACCTGCGGTACATCAAAGTCTCATTCTTGGATGACACAAGTCGTTAAGATCATCCATCTAAATCCACAGCTCTAATACCCCCTCACCCAACAACCTTCTGGCTTTAATTTTACTTGCAACATAGATTTTCAGATAAGGAGAGAATGTGTTGATCTGGTCGGCTTGGCATTTATACTTCTAATTCTAAATACTCTAATTTTAAATTACTCTAATTTACTAAAAGCAAGAAATTAGGCATTTTCTGACCCACCAAAAGAGCAAATAAGGAGGCAGCATGGCAACGGGAAAATAGGTCCTAGGTTCTAATACCACCTCTGCAACTGTGACCTTTTAAGCTAATCAATCGAACTATCTGAGGCACCATTTCCTCATATGGGTAAGGGGAAAAATTAGTACATATCTGAGATATCTTAAAGCTATGCTAACTCAAGAGCTAAATATAAAAAAGAGGAGAGGAGGGGGGAAAGGTCATGTCTTTACCTTTGGCTTTCTTGGTAGCAAAATGGCGGACTGGTAAAGCTGGATAGGCCATGTATTGCCTGTGGTCATTTTGTTTTCCACTCATTGTCTTCAGTGTAACTTCTGAAACAGGTCTGGTCAGGGCTGCAAGAGAGTTGCAAAAGGCAGGGTGGGCCAAGCGGAAGCACCTTAATCCCAAGGCCATAACTGAAGATAATCCTTGTGAGCGTCCACTGAAAGACAAAAAGGAGAACTAAGTAAAAGTGACCCTATGACAGCTTCAGAAAATAATAGCAACCAATTATCTAGTAACTACTATAATCTGATCTCTGTGGTGGGCAATTTAAATACATTATCTCTAGAGGATATTGGTGGTTCAGTGGTAGAAAACTTGCCTTCCATGCGGGAGGCCTGGATTCAATTCCTAGCCAATGTATGCTGCTGTGATGAACAGGTTTCAGTAGAGGTGCCCAACTAAGATGGGCTAGGAAGAAAGGCCTGGCAATCTACGTCTGAAAAATCAGCCAGTGAAAACCCTATAGATCACAATGGTCTGATCCACGTCTGAGCAAGGGGATGGTGCAGGACTAGGCAGTGTTTCATTCCACTGTTTATGGGGTCATCATGAGTTGGGGGCCAACCTGATGGCAGGTAACAACAATCCTCCCAACAGTCCTACAAGGAAGTATTATTTTTAGCCCCATTTTACAGGATGAAGAAACTGAGGCTCAAGAGATTTAAGTAACTTGCCTATGGTCTGTAGGACCCCAAAGTTCAAGCTCTTTCCACTTGTCTTAGTCATCTAGTGCTGCTATAACAGGAATACCACAAGTGGATGGCTTTAACAAAGAGAAGTTTATTCTCTCACATTCTGGGAGGCTAGAAGTCCGAATTCAAGTCGCCAGCTCCAGGGGAAGGCTTTTTTTCTCTCTCAGCTCTCGGGGAAGGTCCTTGTCATCAATCTTCCCCTGTTCTAGGAGCTTCTCTGTGCAGGAACGCTGGGTCCAAAGGACACGCTCTGCTCCCGGTGCTGCTTTCTTGGTGGTATGAGGTCCCTCTGTCTCTCTGATGGCTTCTTTTATATCTCTAAAGAGATTGGCTCAAGACACAATCCAATCTTGTAGATTGAGTCCTGCCTCATTAACATAACTACCAATAATCCCATCTCATCAACATCATAGAGACAGGATTTACAACACATAGGAAAGTCACATCAGATGACAAAATGGTGGACAATCACACAATACTGGGAATCACGGTCCAGCCAAGTTGACAGATATTTTTGGAGGACACAATTCAAGCCATGACACCACTGCACCAAAATGCGTCTTAGAACACTGGGAACACAGAGTTAACAGAATGCTGCAGCAGCCTAAACTCTACTGACACTAGTTCTACCCTTACATGAGAAAAGGCACAAAATATTGAGAAGGTTATACTATAAAGAGGGAGGACAGAGTACTGAAGAAGACTTTAAAGAAGAAAAGCTTTTCTACAGCCATAAAATGACTAGAAAATTCACACAACAGCATTTTATTAAAATTCTCTTTGGTTCCTTATGCACTGATTACAAATTTGAATGCACTTTACTTTAATATGAGTCTGAAGCATGGTTGAGGTTTGAGGTCTTCCATGTTATAGAACTAAATGTCTGGAAAATGCCACCCTCCTCTGTTAACACAAGTTACACATTATATTTCTCAGGACTCTGATCATGGAAAGATACTATAGCCTCTGGGACAGAACACAGAGCTAGCTAACTGACAAATGTAGTATTAATAGCTTCTGCCAGGAATCAGGCTATCATTCATTTTAAAATTAAGAACCATTAGCACCAAATATCTAGAGGCTGCTATCTTTGAAAGTCAGTCCTACACCTCATTTAAAAAAAAAAAAATCCCATCCTAAAATCTGATTATGTGTAAATGGAGTACTTAAGAGCATGAGTTTTGCAGCCAGGAAGTCTTGGAATCCAATTCCGCCTCCACCACTGACTAAATACCCCTGAACCTCTCTGTGTCTTGATTTTTTCAACTGTGAAATGGGAGCAATAATACGTGTATTTCTTACGAGTTGTGAGGAAGAAATAAGGTTATGCATAGAAAACACTTGGCAGACAGAAAGAGCCCAAAAAATGATACTTATTGATAACTATCACCTTTCCTTTCACAGACTTTCATTCCAGGATCAGACACAGCTAATAAAGAAAACTTGTATGTCATCACTGATGTGCAAGATAGCCTAGAGTCAGGCAAACTTGGATGCAAATTTCAACTAAGAGCAATTCATTCTTTTTCTCTGGGCATCACCTTCTGCATCTGCAAACAGAGAAAAATAACCTTAATCTTAAAATAAAATGTGAAAGTGGTGCATGTAAAACACCTACCCTAGTGCCTGGAATATTAAAAAAAAAAAAAAACCAAACCCATTGCCATCGAGTCAATCCCAACTCATAGCAACCCTATAGGACAGAGTAGAATTGTCCTATAGGGTTTCCAAGGAGCAGCTGGGGGATTCAGACTGCTGATCTTCTGGTCAGCAGCCGAGCTCTTAACCACTATGCCACCAGGGCTCTGCCTGGAATATAGTAGCTGCTTAATAAGCGGTAGCTATCATTATGATCATTTCTTTAAAAAAAAAAGAAAAAATGAGTAGCACAGGCAAACAATTTCTCCTGACAGAATTTTTAATACCATGTATGAAGTTTGTAAAAACAGACCTCCATTTTCATTCAGATCTGTTTTTAATGACTTCATACAGTGATCACTGACATCTAGCATCCATCGTTATTAAAAATTCTGCAGGAGAAATTATTTGCCTGTGCTACTCATTTAAAAAAAAAAAAGAAATGATGACAATGACAAACCAAACCAAGCCAAACCTGTTGCCACTGAGTCAACTCCGACTCATAGGGACCCTATAGAACAGAGCAGAATTGCCCCATAGGGTTTCCAAGGAGCAGCTGGTGGATTTGAACTGCTGACCTTTTGGTTAGCAGCCAAGCTCCTAATCACCGTGCTACCAGGGCTCCATGATAATAATAGCTACCATTTATTAAGCAACTACTATATTCCAGGCACTATGGTAGGTGTTTCACACGCATCACTATCTCATTTTATCATCGGCATTTCTCAAGCAGAAAGAACTGAAGAAAAAATTCAAGTTTTGAGTTGCGATACAGAAGGAGTCTACGGGGAAAATACTGAATTATGCAGGAAGCATCAAAAGAAGATGGAATACACACAGTCATTGTACCAAAAATTGGTACAATTGGTCGACATTCAACCATTTCAGGGGATAGCATATGATCAAGAACTGATGGTACTAGAGGAAGAAGTCCAAGCTGCACTAAAGGCATTGGTGAAAGACAAGGCTCCAGGAACTGACAGAGCACCAACTGAGATGTTTCAACAAACAGGTACAATGCTGGAAGCATTCACTTGTCTATGCCAAGAAATTTGGAAGACAGTTACCCGGCCAACTGACTGGAAGAGATCCATATTTGTGCCCATTCCAAAGAAGGCGACCCAAGAGAATGCGGAAATTATCGAACAATATCATTAATACCACACGCAAATAAAATTTTGCTGAAGATAATTCAAAAACAGTTGCAGCAGTACATCAACAAGGAACTGCCAGAAACTCAAGCCGGATTCAGAAGAGGACGTGGGATGAGGGATATCACTGTTGATGTCAGATGGATCTTGACTGAAAGCAGAGAATATCAGAAAGATGTTTACCTGTGTTTTATTGACTATGCAAAGGCATTCGACTGTGTAGATCATAACAAATTATGGATAAACTGTGAAGAATGGGAATTCCAGAACATTTAATCGTGCTCATGAGGAACCTATACATAGACCAACAGGTAGTCGTTTGAAGAACAAGAGGATACTGCGTGGTTTAAAATCAGGAAATGTGTGCGTCAGGGTTGTAAATTTTCACCATGCTTATTCAATCTGTATGCTGAGCAAATAATCCAAGAAACTGGACTATATGAAGAACACAGCATCAAGACTGGAAGAAGACTCGTTAATAACCTGCATTATGCAGATGATACAACCTTGCTTGCTGAAAGCAAAGAGGACTTGAAGCACTTACTGATGAAGATCCAAGATCACATCCTTCAGTACAGATTACACTTGAGCATAAAGAAAACAAAAATCCTCACAACTGGACCAATAAGCAACATCATGATAAATGGAGAAAAGACTGAAGTTGTCAAGGATTTTATTTTACTTGGATCCACAGTCAATGTCCGTGGAAGCGGCAGTCAAGAAACCAAATGACACATCGCATTAGGCAAATCTGCTGCAAAAGACCTTTCAAAGTGTTAAAAAGAAAAGATGTTACTTTGAGGACTAAGGTGCACCTGACTCAAGCCGTGGTATTTTCAATCGCCTCATACGCATGCAAAAGCTGGACAAATGAATAAGGAAGACTGAAGAAGAACTGATGCCTTTGAACTATGGTGATGGTGAAGAATACTGAATATACCATGGAATGCCAGAAGAATGAACAAATCTGTCTTGGAAGAAGTACAGACAGAACGCTCCTTAGAATCGATGATGGAGAGACCTTGTCTCACATACTTTGGACATGTTATCAGGAGGGACCAGTCCCTGGAGAAGGACGTGATGCTTGGTAAAGTAGAGGGTCAGCAAAAAAGAGGAAGACCCTCAACGAGATGGACTGACACAGCAGTGGCTACAAACAATGGGCTCAAACATAACAATTGTGAGGATGGCGCAGGACCAAGCAGTGTTTCGTTCTGTTGCACACAGGGTCACTATAAGTCGGAACCAACTTGACGGCACCTAACAACAACTGAGGTTTGGCCCAGGCTGCTTACTTTATCCATGTTGTTTCATTTAATCTGCTCAATAACGTCACAAAGAAAGTATAATAATCCTCATTTTACAGATTTAGAATCTGAGGCTCAAAGAAATTGTCACTATCCAAGGGCATGAAGCTAACAGCCCTGCCCTATTTCAGCAGAACCATTCACAAAACTCTGGCTCTGAACAGGGTTTCTATATCTAGATTTTTGCCTAATATAGCCAATGCCTAACTCACATTGATATCCAAATATGGCTGTATAATAATGTGTAGTTTTCTGTTAAGTTTTTTAACCTACAGGGTCTCAATCTGGCTGTTCCATTTAAGACAGGTTTCCTGGTGTTCCTGTTGCAGGTCCCAATATGAATCCACAAAGCAACAGGAAATCAAAACGGGTTAGAAATAAACAACCTTTGACAGAAAATGCAGCACCCAAAAGCAGACCCAGTACACGTGAACCGGAAGATAACTCTATAAATAAACCACATTGCTTAAATGCTTAAGGCGTATATTTTAACTGCATAGAAGTCAGGAAATTTCAAAGTGGAAGTTCAATAAGGGCACTCCCTTGGGTCCTTTGACTTGAGGACACACACATTAACACTCAGTTCTACACAGATGAAGAACTAAAGTTGAAGAAAGAAACTGTTATGGTAGCTCAAGTATTATCTAACAAAATTAAACTATACTCAGAAATAATGTGTTGGAACGTGTCTAGGCTTTGGAGATAGTCTTGAACTCAAGTCTTAGTTCCTCCATTTACTAGCTGTGTGACCTTGGGTAGGTCATTAAAGCCCTCTGAGCTAGCTTCCACAACATCTTTTTCAAGGTGATATCAACAAGACTTTAAAAAAGATAATAATAACAATAATTATGACAGCTAACACTTATAATAACTAGGTGCCAGAAACTATTCTCAGTGCTTTACATACATTAACTCATTTAAAACTCACGACAATCACGTAAGTACCATTATTATCCTCATTTTACAGATGAGAAAGCAGAGGCACAGAGAAATAATTTGTCCAAGATTTTAACTTGGGCAGTTGGTGCTCTTAACCATTATACCTTACTGTGTACATAAAGCACTTAGTACAATGCCTGGCATCCAGTAGGTGCACAATAACCCTGGCGGCACACTGGTTAAGAGCTCCGCTGCTAACCAAAAGGTCAGCAGTCTGAATCCACCAGCCGCTCCTTGGAAACCCTATAGGGCAGTTCTACTCTGTCCTATAGGGTCACTATGAGTAGGAATCAACTCAACAGCAATAGGTTTGGTCTTCCTTGGTATATTATTATTCACACTATTGAAATTTTTTTTTTTAATTACTTGAAGCACACATTCTTTCTCCAAAATTGACAGTCTCAAAAACTTGAATTGTCCTGTTCTTTATAGAAGGTACATTTAATTTTGCAAAGAACTAGATGATGAATGCAGTCCTGGTTATCTACTGTCCCAGCAACTCCTCCCAATCCAGCTGTGTATTTAGTTTATAATATATACATTTTGATAAGTGTGCATATACATGCATACAGACCCTTATACTATATAGAATACTTTCACATTATCTCCTTTGATTCTCACAATAACCAAAAAGTAGTGGTTACCACCCACAATTTACAAAAAAAGCAAACTGAGTTTTCATTTCCTTAAATGCTCCTCCTACTCCAGGGTCTTCAAACCTGCTCTTGTTTCTGCTTGGAATGATTTTCTTCCACCTCTTTAACTGACTACCTCCCATTTTTCTTTCAGATTTAAGCTTAACCATCACTTCCTTGACCACCTCCTCTACCCCAAGTAGGTCAAGTCTCCTGTAGACCACTTTCATAACATACCACACTTTTTCATAGCATTTATTTTAACAGTATCAGTTAATATTTGTGTAATTACTTGATTATTGTCTAATTCCCTCCATAGACTATAAGCACTAGAAGAACTGGTCTATGGTTGTCTTGTCCACTGTTATACCTTCAATGCCTAGCACAGTGCTTGAACCCAGAGGATGCTGAATAAATGTGATAAATATGTGAATGAAAGCCCAGAAAGATTAAGTCCTTGCCCAGCATCACGATGCTGGCACCAGTACTGGAATCTAGTCCTAGGTTCTACTTCCCAACACTGCATCTATTACCCCTTGGTTTGCCAGATTTTTGCTAAGAGATAGGGAATGTTCTCGAAAGCCCCAGAAACCAAAACCCATTGGCATCAAGTAAATTCCAACTCATAGTGACCCTACAGGACAGAGTACAGCTGCCCCATAGGGTTTACAAAGGCTGTAAATCCTTTTGGAAGCAGACCGCCACATCTTTCTCCCACAAAGTGGCTGGTGGGTTTGAACCACTGACATTTCAGTCAGCAGCCAAGCGCTTTAACCACTGTGCCACCAGGCCTCCTCTAAAGTCTGTGCCATGAAAGTTATTTGCAGTATTTGACCATAAATGCCAAACGAAGGATGAAAAACTTTAATAGGCAAAGAAAGAGTTCTTGCTTAGGAGCTAGGAGGTCCGGATTCCAGTATTACTACCTCATCACTCTCTACCACCCCTGTTAAGATTCATAACCACCTTGTATTCAAACAACTTTTGTGGCCGCTCTACCACTGACTTATTTGCAAACATGTATTACTTGTGATAAGTCATTTCTCCTGTGTTTTGTTTCTTCAACTATAAAATGACAAGGTCAGACCAGGTTTTCAACCTTTCCAACTATAAAACTCTCTGGTGAAGAGGAAAAGTCCCCAAACTTAGAAAAGACATAGGAAAATGTTCTTTGTTCCAGCACTTCCTAGATACGTGACCTTAGGCAAGTCAAACTCTCTGGACCACACTCTCATTTGTAAAATACACATGACAAAACTAGTTATCAGGGCTATGAAAGGACTGAATGAAGTAAGGGATGCAAAAGCACTTTGTAAATGGAGAAGGGCTACTGAAATGACAACTGTTTTGTCACTGGGCAGCAAAGAGTACTGGTTAAAAGTCCAAGCTTTGAAGTCAGACAGACCCGGGTTTGAATTTGAGCTCCATCACTTAGTAGCCACGTGACCCTGGTAAAGTTACCTCTCTGAACTTCCGTTTCATCATCATGGGGACATAATACCTATCCCCATGGGACTGTCCTGAAAATTAAATGTTCCTGTCAGGTAGTGTATGCTGAATAAAGGATAGGGCTATTATTTAGTAAGCCCCCCCCCCACCCCTACTCCCTACATTCCTAGCTGGAGACGGGCCCCGTCTCCACCTCGTGAGACTCGTTCTGAAGGCACAGGTCCCGCCCCCAACTTTAAAAGTCAAGCCGGACTCGATTGGAACAGATGAGGGGGGCGGTGGCCAGGCACCCTGGAGTGCCCCAGAGGTCCTTGAGTAGAGGTCTCTGGTACCCGTACCCTGCGCGCGCCTCCAGGTCGTATCGAGGCCACTCACCCGCAATTGACCAGGCTACTGGGGAAACGTTCATGCGACGGCGGCGACGTCAGTGGCGCGGGCGCCGTGACGTCACGAGGCGGCGCGCCGGCGCAGGCGTTGCGCGTCACGGGTGGCCTGGCAGGCGGCGGTGTCGAGGCAGTCGTCCCTAGAGAGGGCTGTCGAGCCGGGGAGTCGGGACCTGCTCTTGGGGCATGAGCCTAGAGGACGACGCCGAGGCCACGAGGTGAGTCCGGCCGCGTTGTGTGCTAGCACGTCAGCGCCGACCCCGCGAGGGTATCGTAGAGGAGGCCTCCCTAGCAGGACGGCTTCTCAGGCCCCGCCCCGGATTGTCCCGCCGCTGGCCAGGAAATAACAATCTGAGTAATAACCCCTCGCATCTAGGAATTCGCGGCCAGGAGTTGAGGAGCCGGGGTCCCAGGCTTGACCCTCCGTCAGTTTTTAGGAACAAGTACCTTTGCTTCTCTGTCCTGGCTTCCAGGGTTGGTGCAGCTCAGGTGGGAGAATGCATGTAAAGGCGTTTTGTGAAGTCTGTTACCACAGGGGTTGTCGTCATTGCAAACCTAAAGGATTTTAATAGTGGCATGCCATCCCGATCTTTTATTACGCTTCACTGTTCCTCAGAAAGCCCTGTGGTTAGCTGTCACAGGTCTTGTGTTATTTAAGTTTCATAACCCATGATACAAGGATGATTATACCCATTCTAGGAAGGAAAAAGAAACTGAGGCTCCCAGTGGAGAAGTTGCTTGCTTCATTCATTCAGTGAATATGAGCCCCAACCATGAGCCAGGCAGTGTAGTAGTAGATGCTTGGGATAGAACCATAATCAAGATAGGCAAGGCCCTGCCCTCTAGGAGCTTACATTCTAGTGAGGGAGACAAGATAAAACAGTAAACGAAAAGATAAAGACACGTAGAATTAGCACTATATGGAAAGAGAAAGGTGGCTATGATAGAAAATAACGGGATTCTACTCTATTAGGGAAAGCTTTTCTAAGGAGAGGACTGTTCCATAAAGATTTACAGCCTTTGGAAACCCTATGGGGCAGCTGTATCTGTCCTGTAGGGTCCCTATGAGTCAGAATTGACTCGATGGCAGTGGGTTTTGGTTTTTGGGACTTTTGAGAAGAACATTCCCTATCTCAGCGAATATCTGGCAAACCAAGGGATAATAGAGGCAGTGATGGGAAGTAGAACCCAGGACTAGATTCCAGTACTGGTGCCAGCATTGTGGCCCTGGGCAAGGACTTAGTCTTTCTGAGCTTTCACTCATGTATTTATCACATTTATTCAGCGTCTTCCGGGTTCAGACACTGTGCTAGGCATTGAAGATACAACAGTGAACAAGACAACCATAGGCCAGTTCTTGTAGTGCTTATAACTTGCTAAAGTCACACAGTAACTAGGCACAAAAGCCAGATTTGAATCCAGATTTCTCTGGCCTTGTATCCTGTATTCTTCCCACTAAAACATGGTACCTTCCTATGGTATTAGTAGCTATTTTTAAACATGAGACAATTAAAATGTGGGGCCCTGGTGGCGCAGTGGTTAAGAGCTATGGCATGCTATGGCTGCTAATCAAAAAGTCGGCAGTTCAGATCTACCAGCCGCTTCTTGGAAACTCTATGGGGCAGTTCTGCTCTGTCCTATAGGGTCGCTATGAGTTGGAATCAACGGGTTTGGTTTTTTTTTTTTAAATTATTCATGTCTCAGCTCAAATGTCATCTCCTTTAGAAAGGCCGTCGCTCTCCACTCAACCTAAAGTAGCTCGATCCTAGTCTCTGTGTTTGCAGCAGTTACCACTAAATATGACTTGTTCACTCATTTTGCTTCTGTTTTGTCCCACTCCTTCCAAATATAAGCATCCTGAGGGCAGAGACCTCACTTATTCACTGCTGTTTTCCCAGTACCTAGACGATGCCTAGAAAATAGAAGTTCAATAGATATTTTTTGAATGGATAATCTCTAAGAAAGGAGGAGAAAGGAAAGCAGGGAAGACAAAATGTTTCTCCTCCCCTGTTTCCACTTCTGGGATTTTGTATTTATGTCTGTTTCACCTTCCTCTCAGGAGAGCAAGAGCTGTGGCTTATTCATTTCTGTATTTCCAGAACATAGCCCAGGGTTTCGCAGCTAGTAGTTGCTTGTCACACGTTGCTAAACAGATTGAATACGTTTAAGTGGGAAGGAAAGAAAAATAAGCCTCATGTGCAGAGGGTAGATAAATGTGTTCAACAAATATTTACTTAGGGCCCACTGTGTATTAGACCTTATAGGGTGTGCTAAGGTGAATAAAAGGTGATGGCTGTGTTTAGTATATTCAACTGAAATTATTAAGACCGTTCTTGCAGTGGTGATTTCTGAGGTACTTCTAGATATATAGGACACATGTTTTCTCCAGCAGGGAGTTGTGAAGTCTGGTACAGCTTGCCCTCTCCTAAGCCCCTTTATCCTTTGTTTCTCTACCACATTATACATGTATGAAAGCTTTATTTTAAATCCATCATCTCAGTTTTGGTCCTCTCAGCAAAGGTAAATTATAAGCAGGGCAAGGTTTATTATTTAGAGATGAGGAAACTGAAGCTTAGAGAAAAGTGACTTCCAATGAAAATGCCAAAATTTGAAATCAAGTCTTCGGGCACCAAGATTTTTCCTCTTTCCACTACTGCCTTCATCATAACCATCATGTTCCTTTTTTGGCTGTGAGATAAACAGGGCTTCAAATCACTTCATTCTGGTTTGAACCTCTGCTGAGCATTTGCATTTCTCCCCCAGATACACTGAATCAAAATCTACAGTTTAACAAGATCTCCAGGTGATTCTTATATATAATAAATTTTAAGAACCACTGCTTTACTAGTGCAGTGAAGTGATTAAATCACTTTTATTCAAGGTTTGCAGCTATTTTATTTACAAGTATACGTTTAACAATGAAATAAACACTAAGGTATCAAGCTTAGTTTATAGAGTAGTGTAACAATAGGTGTTTTGCTGATTACATTATTTTAAACAAACTACACTGAAAAATTAATGCCAGTAAAATTCTTGGTTATAATATTATTAAGAAATACAGTATATAAATTGAAAATATGATTGCTTAAAATTTGAAGATGGAAGTGAACTCATTTGGACAGAGTCAGAGTTTAACGTAATCTGAAAGTGGGGGGAAAGCTCTGATCCAAATGGTATCTTTCAGGTTAACAGAAGAAAAAAGAAGCATAGTTTATCTTAAAGGAAAATGGACAGTTTACTTCTTCAGGTAGAATATATTCCCAGTGTCCTCAGGTTTTGCGGTAGAATCACGTCACTGAGCATGAAGACTTTCCTTGTGAAGCTGCCCCATCAATTTTTTCTGCCTCGAAAATAAATTATCCTTCTAAAAACATCATCAGAAGTCTGATTTTCTTTAGCAGAAGGTTCCAGAAAAGCAGCATGCAAAGATTCTCCTAACACTTTCCCTTCTTCATAACTGATCACCCTTTCCATATGTAGGTCTGTCTTATTTCCCACCAACATAATAGGTATTTGAACCAGGGCTTTGAACTGGAGATAAGACATGTCAGGAACTAGGGCTAGTAATAATTTAAGCTAACATTATTTGAATACTTTGTAGTGCCATGCTCTGTTCTAAATGGTTTAGTTGTACTGACTCAGTGAATCCTCTTAACTCTGTGAAGTATTATCTTCATTTTACAAATGAGGAAACTGAAGCACAGAGTGGTTAAGTAATTTGGCCAGGGTTACAGAGCTAATAAGTGGTAAAACTTGGATGACTAAGGAGAAAGTTAGTTTTTCTTCCAAGTTTCTCTCAAAATATTAAACATGATAATATCTAATGTTTATTGATTACTTCTTGTTGTTAGATACATAGTGTTCAGTGATTTTTCGTGCACTATCTTTAATCCTCACAACAGCTCTATTAAGTAAGAACCGTTATTATTTCCATTTATAGAAATAACCTGAGACCTAGAAAGTTCAGGTAATTACCAGGTCACACAGCCTGCTTTCAAACCCAGTTAAGTCTAACTTCAAAATCTATGCACTTAAATTTCCTGGAAGGAGGAAAGCTTTAGTTTTCTACATACAGAACTATGCCCTCTTTCACCTCAAATGGCAGTTTCTGTGCTCTGTCTGCCAGAGGAGCTGTCCCAAGAGAGCTGATGCTGGGGCCCTGGTCGTGGTATAACTGAGGACTTTGAAGGACTGCCCAGAGGGCATGCCCTCCTTGAATAAATGTTTGTTGAATTGAATTTTAAGTCTCATGTTCACACGGTGTTGCTCTTCTCCTGCCTGAATGTTCACATTTCTTTTAGTATTTCATAGAGATTGATGGAAACGGAAACCAAAACTCTTCCCCTGGAGAATGCATCTATCCTTTCAGAGGGTTCCCTACAGGAAGGGCACCGGTTATGGATTGGCAACCTGGACCCCAAAATTACAGAGTAAGTCTAAGTCACCTTTCTTCATTACCTACAAAATTGGGGTGTTTGCAGTGATTATGTGCAGAAGAATTTTCAAAGGTGTAGGGTATATTTTGGCCCTTTTATTTGTGTTTTAATTTATCTTTGAAGGGGGTGTGATGTTTTTACTAGCTTATTAGCTTGACACTTTTCTTACATTTAGACTCATCTGTAAGAGCACAGACCTGAGAATCCTTTAAACCATGTATGTACTTCTTTTTCCTGCTTGCCAAAGATGTTCTCTCATTTCCAACTATTTGAATCTTTGTACCCAGTGTTTACAGGGAATTATTTTCTAGAATCAGCCTTGGACATACTTATTTTCCCCAAAATGAAAGAAAAAGCAGAAGTCTCGGTACCTTTGCGAACAGGCAGAGAGGTACCACTTAACTATAATTCATGTACAATATTAAGTATCTGTGGAACCATAGAAGGTCATAGCTAGAAAGGATCTTAGACATCATTCCAGTCCCTTTGGTTTTCATTCATTAAGTGATATAACTGCCTATTGTATGCCAGGTGTCATGCTAAGGAGTTTTCATACCTTTTAAGTCTGAGGACCCCTTAGAAGCTGTGTACAAAATAAAAGCTCAGAGCTGCTCTGATTAAAGGGGGAAAGAGATGTGCCTAAAGCGTTTTGTCAGCTGCAACCCTGGCCAAATTACTTAACCACTCTGTGCCTCAGTTTCCTCATTTGTAAAATGAAGATAATGCTTCATAGAGTATTATCCCTGATGAGGCTCTGTGGAACTTCTAGGGCTCCATGGAGCACACTTGAAAACCACTGATATGATCTAGCTCTCTTATCCTACCATTGAGGAACCTGAGGCCTGAGAGAAGGAAGTGCCTTGCCCAAGGTTGTAAAACTAATTGAATTGTCCTGACTCCCCACTCTTTCCATCACAGTCATTATAGTGGAAAGGAATTTCCTAGCAGAGAGAATTGAGAGGTTTTCCTCCCCTAATTGTCTAATGGGGGCATTGTGGTTGCTGGGGGCAGGATGGTAAAAGGTGAATGGGTTGAGCTGCATGGGGTCACTGCCTAATGCAAGCCTGAAGTATATCATCAGCCCTAGAAATTACTCCCTTTGAGTAGGGTAAAGGTAAGGGGGGAAGAGACAAACCTATTTGATTGAATCTGGGTGAAAGGAAGGGGACATAAAGATTGGGATTGGGAGAGAGGATAAGGGATGTAAACTTATCGATCAGGATCATGACAGCAAGTTTAGTTCCTTGAACCTGCTTCATGTGCAAAGCAGCTAAATGTAGATGTGTTTGGGTCCTTCTAGAAGCTATGATGGTGTTTATTATGTGTTGCCCACATTATCATGTTACCTTGAATAGGGATTCAAAGGGACCCTGAAATATATATTGTGTATTTATTCCTATTATTCCTATTCTTTGTTATGGTTCATAGCTTTGAGGCTGAATGTTTATACTGCCCAATCTCTCAGTTAGTGTTTGTTGATCAGAGAAGCTGTTTCCATCATCTAAAACTTGTTATGAGGGGATGCTCCCTAGGTGGTAGTTTCCATTCCCACCTCTGCTTGTCTGAATGGAAATCTAAAGTGTGGGAGCAGTATTCGTTGTGTTGTCTGCACTTCCCTGTAATGAGACTCTTGTAATTGTGTCTTGCTGCTTGATGGGAAAAGACACTGGGCGTTTGCCACCTTAGTTTATGTCATAAGTTGGAGTATATGAGTGTTATGTTCAGTTAGAGCAGTAACAGGAACATTGAATCAAAACTTTCCTACTGGGTAAAGTTTTTACATCAGGCCGAAGGTGAACATCAGATACTACACTTCAGATCAAGGCCTTGCTGACCGGAAGGACTTGTCCTCTTTTTATCGTTATTTTCCTCACTTTGTACCACCAGAGATAACTTCTATTGTTTTTTTCCTATGAATTCCTTATCCTAAAACATTTCAAACAAACTGATGTATTAAGTAGTAATAAATTTCTTCTTAAAGCATAACTATCAATCGTAGTAACTTATGGTTGCCATAAAATATATGGTATTACTTCATTTAATTTACCTAATTACAGCAACAACAACAAAAAAAAACCTAATATTTTAGTAAGCCTAGGTAGGCCTTATCTTGTGCAAATATGGTTTCCTTCCAAGTTTTTGAAATAACATAAACTGTAGATCCTTATTCTAGGCTTATAGTTACCTAGAGTGGGTAACTATGGGCCTAGAATAATTACTAAAATACAATTACTCCCAAACATTGAAGAATTGTATGTTGTAACTAATGTGAAAAGATGGTACCTGGCTTGTAGTTCAGTCTTATGAAGTGTTAGTGGAATCCAAATCTCTAAATTTCTAATAACTCTCTAACAGAAGTTTGCAGAGCACCCTCCAGTTTTCATAATTAAACTTAGTCTCCCACCCATAAATTGCTACTGGTTCCTACTGTTTCCCCCTTCAACAAATCCTTCTTATTTCTCTTTCCTTTATATACCCCTGCTACTTACCACCCCTCTTCCTGATATCTTTTATAAACTGATTCGAATGCCCCTCTTATACAAATAGGTTTCTGGGTGGCACAGTTTGTACTTGACTACTAACCTAAAAGTTGGTAGTTCAAACCTATCCAGGTGCCGTGGAAGAAAAAGGCCTGGCAGTCTGCTTCCATAAAGATTGTGGCCAGGAAAACCCTATGGAGCACTTCTACTGAAACACAAATGTTCTTGCACCTCTGGGTAGAAGGCAAGTTATATATGTTTACTGTCATGAATGGTTACAAGGGTATGTAAAACAACTGCAATTAAAAAAAAAAAAAAACAACTTTCCACTCAATTTTTTGAAGTTTATTTTGTAATTAATTTCTAGTCATCCAATGTGTGCATGTCTGTTACTCATTAATCAAGTCCTGCTCCAGTTATACTAGGTTGTCCATCAGTCTCCTCTCAACCGAATGTGCATTCCTAACTAACTAACACTCCAATATTCTGCTTCTTGTTTGTTTGTCTTCACTTTGTCGTTATAATACTGACCAGTTTAGGGCCATGCTAGATGCCAGGAATATTTGTATGACTAAATAGATCTTAGAGATTTGGATTTGAGGGAGTGATGATGCAGTCTTATTCATGGAGGTAGCATATTCCAAACCTAAGTTCTTTCTACTATATTCTTATTTCTCTGAACTTCATTTTGTATGCCATACTTCTTACCTATAAAAGGAGAACATTCAACTAAATGATCTGAATATTTCTCCTAGCTCTAACATTGTATGAGTTGGTCTTATTTAAACTCATAATAACCTTATGAGGTAAGTGGAACAGATATTATTTTCCCCATATTACAGGAAAAAAAGGTTAAGTGACTTTGCTTAGTTTTCTGAAGTAGTTAATGATAGGACTAATTTCCCACCACCTAATTTTAATGCTTTGCACAAATATTCTAATAGTCCAAATAATTGAACTCTTATAACCTAAATTATCCTATTCTAGATTTAAAAATGTAAAGGCTTCTTTAGACCAGACTTCATGGTCTGACTGAGACTGGAGGAACGCCGGAAAGCATGGCCCCTGGATTCTCTATCAGCCTAGAAATAAAACAAATTCCAAAGCCAACTCTTCAGACAGGGATTGGACTGGACTGTGGGACATAAAGTGATACTCGTGAGCAGTGTGCCTCTTAGCTCAAGTAGATACAAGAGACTAAACAGGCAGCTTCTGTCCAGAGGTGAGATGGGAAGGCAGAGAGGGCTAGGAGCTGGTTGATGGACATGAGGAATCAGGGGTGGAAAGGAGGCGTGTGCTGTCACAGTATAGGGAGAGCAATTAGGGTCACATAACAATGTATGTATAAATTTTTGTATGAGAGAGTAACTTGAAATGTAAACTTCATTTAAACTACAACAATAAAAAAAGAAAAAACGGGACCAACGAGGCAAGGACTAGAAGGCAGGAGGGTACAGGAAAGCTGGTGATAGGGAACCCAAGGTTGAGAAGGGATGGTGTTGACATGTTGTGGGGTTGTTAACCATTCTCATAGGGCAGTATGTGTACTAACTATTATAATGAGAAACTATTTGTCCTATAAACCTCTATCTAAAGTACAAAAAGAAAAAATAAAGAATTATCTATGTGAGATCAAATTGACAACAGCAACTCAAAAGGTTTGATGGGAAGCCTAGGGGGCAGTGAGTTGAAGATAATGGTAATAGAATAATTTGGAAAAGGATAGTGAGAATAGCAGCACAACTGGAAGAATGTAATTGATGTCACTGAATTGTACATGTAGAAGTTTTTGAAATGGTGTATCTTTGGCTATGTATATTTTCACCAAAAAAAAAGTCATCCAAGGTCAAGAAAGGAGAGTGTTGACGTCGTGGGGTTGTTAACCAGCGTCATCAAACAGTATGTGTACTGACTGTTAAACGACAAACTGTTCGTTCTGTAAACCTTCATCTAAAGTACAATTTAAAAAATTAAAAAAAAAAAAATGTAAAGGCTTCTTTAAGTTGTTTTAGGACCCAATCCAACTCTAAGGATTAACAGTACCTCTAAATACTATTGCTAGTGCCTTCTTCAACAGAGAAACCAAAAAAGTTGATGTTAATGTCCTTAGACATTATCTGTTTTCTACACTGCAGTTCCCTCTAAAAAGGTTACTACTGACTTTCTTTTTCAAATGTTGAATGTGCTATGTAGGAAGCCAAAATAAGAGCCACTGCATTATGCATGGTTTGTGGATATATAAAGTTGGTTTTATGGTGACAGTTAATGTTTTGTATTTTTCTTGAAATATGAGGTAGTAGTATTATGATTCAGTTGGGAAGTTGTGTTTTTTAATGGTTATGAATGTGAGCAATGGAGTCAGGACAAAAGAATTTTTGTCCACTTTTTCTTATAGAAAATTTCCAACATGTACAAAAGTATAGCGAATAATAAAATGAATCACCATGAACCTGTCACCTAGCCTTAACCGTTACCAACTCCTGGCCAGTCCTTTTATACTCCAACTTGGAGTGAGTCCCTGACATCAAATCGTTTCATCTGATAGTATTTTAGTATGTATCTCTAGTGGAATGGATTTAATCCTTGCTCTGCCATTTACTCTGCAATCTTGGGCATATTACTTAACCTCTCTGAGCTTTCTTATCTGTAAAATGAGGATATAAAAGTACCTGCCTCATAGAATTGTTACAAGGATCAAATTAGAGAGTCAGTAGAAAACACTTAAAACAGTGCCAGGCACATAGTAAATACTCATTAAAAGTTAGCTATTTTTTTATTGTTATTTCCATGACCTATTATCATTCTAACATTAAGTGTTAAATGAGCACTTACTATGTAGTTAAAATTGTGCTGGCCATTTTGGTAGCCAAGAGGAGATCGTCATTCATAACTGACCCCCATCTCAGCCCTTTCTGGGCCTGGAAGTTTTCCTGGGCATAGGTATGTTAAGGACACTGATCTGTCTGCACTTGGCTTTTCCATCACAAATGCAGCAAAATATAAGACATGATCCCATCCTTGATGGCATCTGTAGATCTGTAGACCAGTTTCTTTGTTAATGATGTTAAGAACAATAGGAAGAAGAAGAAGGAAGAAATTGTCATGGGTCAGACTAGTTGGCATGCTTATAGTAAGCAGAAGAAATAACATTTCATTCCTATTCACTGACAATAGAAGCTGAACAAATCTGTCTACTTTTCTTGGCTTCAATTACTTCATCTATAAGACAAGGATATGGATTAAATGATTACCAAGATTTTTTCCAAGACTAACATCCTTTGCTTGTAGTTTTGTGGGGGCAAATCAGACATGAACGGAACAACACAGAGAAGTATGAGAGAGAGCAAAGCCAGTAGAAATTCTAATAGAGGGAGCATTCTAAGTGGAGGGAGACTCATAAATTAAGATACATAAGTAGGAATAAGAAAGATTATTATAAGTGAGCAGAATATTAGGAAGACCCTTTTGATGAGAGGTTGAATGTTAAATGGTAATGAAAATATGGATTGGATAGATAGAATACTATCAAAATTACTCAGGCAAGTTTGAATTTCATGTAGAAGAGACTCTATGGATATTTAACAAGAGACTGACATAAAAGTGATGTTTTAGTAGGGAAATTAGCCATCAGTATGTAAGATGAGATGGAGACTAAAAATAGCCAGGAGAGACTGCCATAAACCAGACCTGCCATCAGTGTAACCTAAATAGAGACAGTGAACTTAAAGACCGATGGATGAGTCTGTGAGATGAAGAAATAAGACATAGGGATTAAAGAAGAGTACAGAGTTGAAGGTGATCCTAATATTTCTTGCCTGAGAAACTTAGAAGAATCATGCCTTCACTGACCAGTGGGATAGCTGGAAAGGAACACCAATTCGTGGTGGGGAGGAGGTCAATTAAGTTTTAACAGTCAAGAGCTGTCCAGGTGAAATCATCCTTCTAATGAAGATTTTCAGAGATAAAACAAGATTGCAAGCAAAAATAAATGCATGAGTCTATGAGAACAATGTGTTTACTTCTGAAGAAACCCCTGTTTCTCTCAGGCCTTATTTTTCTTTTGTTGTCCATGCTGATTTTATGCCTTGATTTGCATGAAACAGCCTTTGCTGTTTACTTAAACAGCCTTTGCTTACTTAAATTTGAACCACAGTAAGACCATTTAATAAAATACATAATACCACATAGCATAGAACATAAAGGCCCACCTTATAATTTCTATAAGTTTATAAAGAAAATTTTCCCTAAAACAAATTGTACGCTGAAAGTAAGTAATCTTAAATGTCATTTTTTTGGTCTCCCGTTGACTACATCATCAAGCTAAAATTTCCTAACTAAACGCAAACCATCCCTCACAGCCTGTCTCCTGCCTCATCTCTTACTGCCTTCCCCCTGCTCTCTTCCAGTGGATCAGACTCTTTCACCTTGATGTCTTTGTGCATGGTGTTCACTCACACTGACGTACTCTGCTCAGATACCACTCCTTTCACAAAGCCTTCCTCAGCCACTACCTTCCTGCACAATTAGGCCTCCTTCATCTGCACACTCATGTACATACCTCTATGTATAAGTATCACATGGTTTTGTAATTGATTACATTTCTTTCTCTTCTAATTAGAATGTGAGCTCCTTGAAGGCAGGGACCTAGTAGTTTTATTCATCTGGATAGTCCAAGTGCCAATTGTATAGTTTTTGACACATAGGAAGTATCTATTTTAATGTTTCTATGAGTTATTTCTGAGGCATTAAGAAGGCTACTTTAAAGACCCATTACGGAAAGTACTGATTAAGTTACAGAAATATGTATGGGAATGGTGTTACTAATTCTCTACCTCCTGGAGGCAGTGGGGCCCACATTTCATTAGAGGGATGCAAACCTCTGATGAGTAGTGAGCTCTCCCATACTTCAGCAGCAGATAAAAGTGTTTGCAGATGTGGAAGCAGGAGTCTTCGGTCTTGTTTCACTATCAGAGCTTGCAGTCCCCATCTCCAGGAAGCAAAATAGTAAACATTTCATTCCTTTTGTTTCGGTGTTCTGATAATTTTGAGAAATTATCAAACAAGAAAAGAAATCCTGGAGAAGTTGAAAGACACAGACCTAAGCAGATGTTCCTGGAATCTTAAGGTCGCACTTCTCAAGCAGAATGTTTGTTAACTTTTCAAAGAATAATCTGTCCACGTGTTTTTTTCTGAGCGAATTAAAATTCATTTTCTAGGAAATGCCAATTGCCTTACCTTCCTGCTATTAAGCAGAATGGAGCTAATGAAAAGATGACCGGCCCACAGCAGCCGCTTTTTTTTAAAAGTGGTTTTGGCCCACCGTTCTATGGCATCTGGTGCTGTGGTAAGGTTTGAATGAGTGCTATAAGTGGAAGATGCAGCTGTGAATGGGGAGAGACTCTTCTAGCCCATCTGTCTCTGCATTTGAGAGAGACATCCTTGCTATAGGCCTAGTTTAAAAAACCCAGTAAAACTAGAAATTTGCACTTGAGGTGTCCCCCTTTCCCCTGAATATCAGCTCCCACATTCTCACTAGCAGTCCAGGTCCCCTGATAGGAATTGAGAATTTGGAAAGTAGGGGGTCACAGTTGTTTTCCCTTTTAAAACAGGTCCAAAGACCAGATTAATATCCACAGTATGCCTTGGGATCCTGCATCCTGCCCCAGTGCTAGACCTGCATTATGTCTTCCTTGCTTTACTGTGTGTCAGGCACCTGATCCAGGATAATGGGTTTGCTTGTTGATGTGCATTAGTATCAAATTTAGTATAACTTATGATCCATTTTATATCTTTCTGCCTCCCAAAGGAGATTCTCACTCAAGAATCAAATCTTGGTGAGTTTCTCTTAGAAAACAATGTGAATATAAATGTGGCTTTAACGACAACTCTACTGACTCCCTGTGGGGTAGAATTCCCAGTAATAACAGATTTAGCATGTGGGCTGATACCTTTTTAGTATCACAGGGACAGCATTGTTTAGAGAAAGCCTTGACTCCATTTGAATAGCGCAGAGGATGCCAGGAGGAAGGCCAAAGGAAAAGGAAACAGGAGAACTGTTGGTTTGTCTCACCCTTACATCAGATGACAGGAAGTCGGAATTGAGATTGGCCACAGCAACCTGTTAAGGCCACATCTGTTTGAATAACTTTAAAGCTCTATAGAAACCAAGTAAGTTTGAGAGTAGGGAATCCAAGAAGAGGATGTGGGGCAGAGTGGCAAGCAAGAGCTTGGGGTGAACATCCTGCCTGGAATAAATTTCTTCCTTGACCATCTATATTCTTTACTTGACCATACCCCAGCATATAACTGTGTCAAGGCAACTGGGGTTGGTTAATTACCCATGGCTAGATGATTTATAGGAACTGGCCAGGTTCCCTTCCTTGTGTGAGACCAGCCTCACTTATGTTGTAGTTCCACATTGTCCTAATGTCCATTCACGTCAGGGATTACAACTCTTAAGCGGTTATGGAAATGCCACTAGCTGTGGTTTGGTTTTTGGCAGAGTTTCTCACAAGTGCAGTTTGGGTCTAATGATTAACTATAAAATCTAAGAGAGAAATCTACCAGTATTGTTTTGTTTTGTTTGTATGAATATGTATGTGTTTGTTACTTTGTTTATTTTTGAGGTAGGGTACGCTTTGGCTTTTGGAGTATGGGTGTGTGTTTCTGCTGGAGTTATAGCCATTTATTCATAAATACTATTGCATTGTCAAGAAATTAAAAATAAATAAATCGACACTATTTTTGAGCTTTTCTCTGAAAGAAAAACAAATGGTGCTTGTGGGCCAGACAGCTGTTTATTAGGTGTGGTTTTTTGTTTGGTATTTTTGTGTTGAATAGATGCATAGCCATGACAATTCTAGTTCCTATTCCAAATAGAGGCAAACAACTCTGTTTGCCAAATAAACTAACACAACAGTTTGGAGGAAGGCGGGGGACGGGGCAGTGTGAGATTTTATCCCTGGGATAAATTACTCCTTGCTTTTATCTCGCCACTTCAGGCCAAGTAACCAAAAAAATTCCCATAGCGTACTCACGGCTCTTTTTTTCTCCACAGATACCACCTCCTCAAGCTACTCCAGAAATTTGGCAAAGTAAAGCAGTTTGACTTCCTCTTCCACAAGTCAGGTGCTTTGGAAGGACAACCTCGGGGTTACTGTTTTGTTAACTTCGAAACTAAGCAGGTAATTGAGCTTCCTCCCCCGTTTCATAGTACTTACCTAACTATATCATAATTATTTGTGCATTTCTCTCAACTACTAGAATATCAGTTCCTTGTGGGCAGAAGCCATGCCTGATCTCCCTATGCCTAGCACTGAGTGCTAAAGTAGATCCTTAGCAAACACATACATTACTGAACATCTTTCAGAATGTACACTCCCTGGGCTCGAGGTCTAAGGCACTGACCTACTTTTCTGACCGAGTGCTTCGGGATGCCCACATTTAGTACATGGACATCCTCCTCCCTGTTCTGTTGTGTTGGTTCCTTTAGTGGCTGGCCAACAAAACCTCCTATTCTTTCAGTAGTTCTGCACCATGGTGCAGAAGCCCTGTCTGTGGCAAGCCACCCACAAACTCTATTTTATTTTGATTTCTTAAAAATGTACCCTTTTCAGTGTCTTAGAGCAAATGCATACAAATTTGAATGTATGTACAGGAAGAGAATATTCAGCTTCAACCATGATAATATACATGTATCTTCTTTTTTTTTTTTATTGTACTTCAGGTGAAGGCTTACAGAACAAATAGTTTCTCATGAAACAGTAGTACACATATTGTTTTATGACATTGGT